CGGCCACGCCCCGGTACGGTGGGCGGAGCAAGAGTGACGTCACAGGGGCGTTGGCGGCAGACGAAACGGAAGGAAACAAAAGTTTGAATAAAATGAAATTGAAAAATCAAAATTAAAACTCGAAAATCACAAACCTTTCGGGGATTGTTTTATGCCAGCGATTATTAAAATGATAAAGCACTCAACACGAAGACAATTCGACGGCCAAAAATTGCAGGCACAGAGGAGCAAGGTGACTAAACAGGACAGAGGGCGCCATCTTACGGCCCCACCCACCAGAAGAAGGCAGAGGAAGATGACGTCGCAAGGGCGTGGCAGTCACCCCTCCCCCCAACTATAAAAGGGTGCGCCACCCAACCAGAGGGAGAATCACAGTCGAGCAGCCGAGAGTCACAGTCCACAGCTGGAGCCGGAGACGCCATCTGGGAGCCGCCGTCAGTCCGGGGTCACCCACGAGAAGCCTCTTCAGTTCGAGTGATCAGAACCGAGGACAGCAGCCGACGCTTGTGACCACACTGAGAAGCGGAAGCGCAGAGAAACTCCAGAATGTGAGTGTTGTTGAAAAGTCTGCTCAATCCCAATCCTTGACACCCCCCCCCCCTCTGCCCGGTTGCCGTGCCGTGACGACTGCCAAACATTTTCGGTTGCCATAAAATGCACTCTCAATTGGAATTGGAAAACTTAAATTACTTTGAACTTATTGGTCCAGACACCCTAGTAGCATATTAGGATCTGAATTTCGAAGTCATGTCAGAGTCGCCAGCAATACGTTATTGCCAGTTGGAGCCGGTATGTTTCGCGATTAGACCGAGAGCGAGATGCTAAAATTTGAATAAGCAGCTCAGTTGTCACGAACGTTGAAATTGATGACAGGATGCGTGTCAGCATTGAATAATGAATATGTCTTTGTGGTTGGCCAAGCTGGTTCGTTCGATTTATTATCGGCGGTAGTCAGGTGCGATTGAGATTTGAGGTTGGGAAGTTTGTGAAATTAAGGGTTTAGATTCGTGCTGTACTCACTAAAATTTGCATTGCGAAATCATTGGTAATATTGCTGTAGGAATTAATTGCGAAGTCGAAATCAATTATAGAACAGGTAAATACGGTTGAAAAGGAATGTAATGTTTTAAGGTGGCGACTGATTCATGCGATCGATCTATGAATATGGCTATGAGTTATGATTTTCGACAGATACGAATGCTTGAGCTTACGGCGGAATTTCTTCTGTTACTTAGGTGCAGAGTTGTGAGCAGTGGTTTGAGGTTGACGGTTTGACACTTTGCGACTTTAGATGGTAACTTTGCGTTATTAAAATTGCGAAATGTCGAGTAACAGGTAGATGTAGAATTGTTTGTGGTTAGAACTAATATGCGACTAACATAGGTACCGATCGTTGTGCTTTTGTAGAATAAATAATAGAAAGGACCGTCTTTGTTGGGGAACGATTAACTGGGACAGGAATTTAATTAAAAAAAAAAACTTACGTGAAATGGAGCTGATGAGATGTCGAACGGGGAGATATTGCAGCGATATTTTACCAGATTCACACTCACTGACACATCCGGTAAAGCTACCCGGCCAGAAGAGACAACCCGCACGAGCACTGTACCGCGAGTGGTGACGCGCCCATAGCGGCGTGACTGACTGACGGTGTCGACGCGGCGCCGGCCGGTGGCCGTGGTAATCGTCGTTCCCGACGCGGGCGTTGAGCCGCCAGAGGGCGCGAGAAGCGGTCACAACAGTAGGGCAGTGGGCTAACCGTAATTGGGGCGCGTGCGGTATAGGTGAAGTCATTGTATAGGAGCGTGGTTAGTTGTGGAAAGTTGCAACGGGATAAGAACGTAAACAGTTAATGCATAATTTTAAATATGACATGCTATATGATATCTAGGACTGCAGTTCGTTTGATGTGCATTGGTTACTGCTAATAGGATGATTTAAATTAGATTTCTATGAAAGGCTAGGGAACCCTTATGACAATATTCTGGCACTCTATAAAGATAATTTGTATAGGTAACTAGTAGCCCATCAGAAGCTATCGAACGAGTTTCAAGGAGTCATTTCCGTTTGAGCATTCAGTAATCCACTATGATACGGTGGATCACAACCAGACGACAGATCGGTGCGTACTTATTGGTTCAAGATCATCTGATTAAATCAAGAGCGGTTCGAGGTCTGCTAGGATTGTATACGAGAACTGATAATTAGGCACACGCGTGCAGCAGAAATTAGGACTTGAGATTACGATTTGGTTTGGATAAATAATGCGTTTTTGTTCTTCGCGTTCTTGCGAGTTAGCGCCAATAATTACTCCACCAATATTGGCACAGGGCATTTTGAGGCACAGACGGCTTGTTTGCCCGCCTCCTATGGCGTAACGTTTACCAGCATGACTGTATGAGACACAGATGCACTTCTCTAAACCCAAGTCCAGACCGGAATAATAAGAGGGACACACCGTCACGTACGCAGGGCATATGCACGTTTTCCGCCAGAGTGTACCGGCCACTGTTAATTTTCCCGCTTAGGTAACACTGGGTGAGAAGGCAGTGAGAGGTTTCTACGGCAGGGGGAAGGGGAAGATTGGCACAGTGCAGTGGAGAGTAAGTTATGCCAAAGGCAAGAAGCCGAGGGTCAGGGGTGAGTCACCCAAAGGGCGGATAAGTCGAGCCGTAGTGTCCCGGATAAGTCCTCATACGTATTTCGTAAAGGTACTTTGATCGGTACTGGACAGCCTCAGGGGAGGGAAGAATGTACTCCAGGACACGTAAGGCCTTGAAGAGTAAATCCCATGGTTTACGGATAGTTCCAGGATATGAACTGTGGTCCCTGGGTCGTGAACGGGAATGTTACACGCGGATCGGAAGAGGGCATAGGTAATCTCTCCCGGTAGAGAGATAAGTCGGATATAAATCGTGTATGTGTGTACCATAAGTCTATCGGACGTGTAGTGAATCCCATAAAATAGAAGGGTGGATATTTGTGCATAATGATTCTGGACGGCCCTGCGATAAGTATCTTTGTCGCCGGTTAGCGGAGCATGCATATGGATTTCGGAAAGAGACATTTATCTCGCCGGGGAGATCGTCGTCAGCCAGACACCTAACACTATCGGAGGGAATTTCGGGGGCTGCTAAATCGATTGGGGTGAGTGAATGGAGGGCAATTGCTTTGTGTGGATGAGCGTAAGAATGATGAAGGATAAATCTTAGGATAAGGCCGATAGGAGTTAAGCAGAACTCAGGTTGGGCAGTCCAGCTAATGATTCTCGAGGGCAACTTAAAACTAGCAACGCTAATACGAATTAAGTGGGCAATTTTCTTAATGGGGAGGCCAGTGATATAGGAATGGGTGACTGGACGAATGATCACATTCAATTAATCAATGTAATTACCACCCATAAGTTTGGCAGTGGTCATCGGGACTTCGAATGCCCTGTCCTTCACCTGCCCAACTGTGCCGCAAACCCAGCTGATCGGATCCCTCTATCCCTAATCCGAGCAGTGAAGAAGCATCTCGTGCATCATGGTCTATACAATGAACAGAATCATCAAGCCTCTAAATTAAAAAGCATCTTCCATCAGATGTATTTGTATGCAAGGTGGATCTATATCTACATCTATCTCTGGATATCTACATCTTCATCTCAAGATCTCTATCTGTATCTAGATCCCTATCAGGTGGATCTACATCTCTTTCAGGATCTCATCTCCCTCTCGGGATCTCTTCAACGACTCTCAAGCTTCCCTGTATCACAAGCTCTACTATCGAATTCATTACAGCAGCAAATCGTTCTCTCTGTTCTTCTACAACTAGCTGGACGACATGGGATCGCTGTGTGAAGATGAAGTACTCTATTCTTTCTTTTCTCCCCTTTAATCCCTTGCTACAATAGCACTGTAAAAGAGCCACCAACTCCGTCCGGTAGTTATGTAGATGTAGACGGCTTTAGTTTTCAGCAGCTGCACTAAGGGCCACCGAGGTGAGCCTTGGCACCATCCGTTTGAACGTTCAGAACCTGTCCAATGATTGCAGCTAGCGGCAGCCGCATAAGCTCCAACAGACGGTTCATTTTACATACCCGTAGGGTTCATTTGTTAGCAATCAGTGGTTACTTTGAAAACATGAGTCACGGTTATGAATGCTGTGGAAACTTTCGTGGAATTTTCATCTTAGCAAGAGCAATTTGGCAGGAAAACGCATTAACCTGACCGAACTTACAGGTTTTCTTCCGGCGGTGGCCTCCAGCGAGACAGCTCACTTTCAAGACGCTGTGATCACAGGTAGTTAAGCAGAAAGAAGCAATAACGACTGACAACAGACTACTTAGCAAAAACAAATATTAGCCGCATCTCTAAAGCAAGTTGATAGTGTGACACCGGCGATCAAGACGACTCGACTTATGCTCAAGTGCGCGTAACGCTTCAATGGATCACAAATAATTTCCAGCTTCATGTGATCATTCGTCGCTCCGAGCTACCACCGTGCTCGCGCAGGGGGGTGCTGTTGCGCTGATCTGCCGGCGGGAGCTGCGCCTCGGACAGCGGCAGGTGGCCTGTTTTTATCCCAGGTCACCGGAGCGAGCCGCGACTGAGCGCGCCAGCTGCTCAGGTGATGAGTCTGTCACCGCGGTCATCAGCGACAGGTCGACAAATGAGAGTCCGACACCGGGGCGCCAGCCCGAGACACAGCCATCGCACACATGACCCGACAACGCCGTCACGACTGTAGCCGACAGGGTCGAGTCGGCTGTATCTGAAATAACCTCGACTGTATCCGACGTGACCATGTTTGTACCCGACATGACCACAGCTGTATATGACATGACTAAAGCTGTATCTAACATGGTTGCTATGACTGTATCCGACCTAACCGTGCAGCAACATCAGTCAGCACGTCCCTACACAGGCCCAAAAGCATTCTAAGTTGCACTTAACAAAACATCTCTTCTCAAACAAACAGCCAAAGTACACAGAAACCGATAAGAAAAACAAACCCACCTGCAAAAGCCAAGTGCAGAATGAAGAAGTTGGTCCTCGACTTTCGGGCCTTGGATGTAACGAGAGCCAAAACCACAGCGGAGTTTCCCAGCATGATCATGATGAAGAGAATCCACAGGAACGTCAACGTCTCAGTCTGTCGGCAGAACAAGTATAGCAGACGGTCAACGACATGCATATGGAACGAACGACAGGAACGTGAAATGAAGAGGTCTGGAGATCCAAGCTGAATAAAGTTATTATGCTAGAAGTCGATTCCGCCAGCTTAGAATGAAAGCAATACAAATCAATTTCAAATGGCCCGGTCATTTCTTTCAGCGACTCTCTATTATGTTGTGGAAGCTTAAACGGCTCATTTTCGTAAGGTTCTTGACAGTTGGCGCCGTCTTATTTCTGCAGCTGAGCTCATCACGAACTCCTACATTTGAGCAAGCTAAATTGTTTCCTCCTGCGCCTAAACAGATGCATAAATATGATGCAGAGGTTATCAACTAACAAAGGATGAGAACTGAACAATTGATTTGTCGATCATGGTGAACTTAGGGCAACCAATAATGAACAAAAGTGGAAAAGGAAAAAAGTTGTAAATCATTTCACCTAAATATTGCTGGCAAGAACCCAGATTAGAGGAGGTAAGTATTAGATGAGAGGATAGAAAAGCTTGTCCGAGTTTGATTTCACAGAGCTACCAACCATGACAAACTGCTTGGCGCTACCTATTTCACGGGGTGGTATGTCGGTTAACTACTCGAGGGCAGCGCTTTTCGAGGAGCGCTGCGGCCCGAAAGTTGGGACTTTGAATTGTGAAAAAAACACCCGCCCGCCGGAAAACGCAAACATCGCAAAACGCGCAAAACGCACCCGCGAAACGCCAACGCAAACGTCGCAAAAAAAAACTAACAAACGCCCACCCGTAATCTGTCGGTTTAACTACATGCAGCCGACCGATGGGGTTGGCGACGCGTGCCTTTTGTGACAAATATAGACGACTCGATTTCTGGCAGCAGCCACTCACAACGGAGCTTCTCATTTTGATAAAATGTCTCGTCACTTCTTGGAGCTCGGATCGTGTGGCCGTGGCATGCAATAGTTATATGATCGGCATCCCGGTCTTATACAAAGGTGCTCTGGGCAGTTGAAGGGGAGGAGAAAAAAATACACAGTCGCATCGTGCATAATCTGCACATCGACCAATTCAAGACTTCCAAGAAACTTTTGTATAAAAAAACATTCGACGTCTGGTGTGATGAAAGTTGAGTGTTCTTGTCAGTCTTGTCATTTACAAAGATTTCCTTATTACGTCTCCCAACGTGGTAGAAATTGATAAGCATTAGCCGTTTTCACGACGGGTTATCTGGCGAAGGCACCAAATTTGAAATACAAAACAAATCTTTTTTACAGTAAAGATCTTCATATCATGAAGTTATTTCAATGTTTTAATCGGAAATGAATAATGTCTGATAATTTGACAACTACGGTTTATAAGCAACAGTGCAAACCAAGCTCAAAACTTCTATTGGGGCCATGAGAAATTTGATATATGGTGGTATTTTACGCACCAGATTTAAGCACTTCATTGACACGCGAGGGAGCATGATGTCATCCCTAAGCCTGACCATGACACAAATGTTACTTTCATTATTGCTGCGAAAAAATCAAGAAGATATTTGGGTAAGGTTTTCTTTTTTCTTAAATAAATTAAATTACCATCTAGCTTACACAACGTGCGTAGCTAAATCTATTCAGTAGCCTACATCTGATCCCACGTACTGATCTTGAGCACGGAATATATAGTCCACGACAGTCGTAGACTATATATTCCGTGTCTTGAGTAAGCGCGTAAAATGTCTCGACCTATTCTGATAGTTTCGACATCATATGGCTGCTAGGAAAACTACACCGTCCGAGTGACGCAACGTGCTTGTTCCAATTTATGGCGCTGCTTATTCACGGCCACACTGAGTCTGTTGCTACCAAAACTCCTAGCAAGATGAATATGCAGTCTCCACAGCGCCTCAGTAACCGCTGAGGCTGGAGCGCAACAATTGTTGGTCACGAGTCACGCATGTGTACAACTTTAATCACTCTCAGGGAATGAAGATGATCAATTTAGCCGATGACGTCAGAACCCTAAAGAACGCCGGCCGACGACTCTGAGCAGGGCTGAAACGAAGACAAAGCGGTGCAGTTATGGCGCTTCCCGACGGACTAAGTAAAATACACCACCGCGTCACTATGGTGCTATAGAACCTGATTCGAAGCAAAGTGGGAATCCGGGTCTATTGTTCATTGGTTGAGTCTCCTAAAGAGAGGACGGAGAATGAGAAGACCAAAACTGAGGGCATCAAAGAACGTGCCGGTTGAAGTTCTTGTGAATGTCAAACTGCAAGCTTGAAAATGGTGGAACAGTGGCTGTTGTGTGATATTTCAATAAAGCACTTGCAGGATAGGTGTTAAGGCTACTGTAAAGAAAGCGAACAATTGTCAATTATAGCGGGGAAACATGAGCATCTGAAACTTTATCACATCGTCAAAATAGTTAACGAATTTACGCAAGAGCACTGATTCATTCATTTCTATCAACCTGTGTACTTCTGGCGCCCCTGGATTTCTACCTGCTCTATTACTCAGCTCCTGGGCCACGTGGTGACAAGCGATAAGTGGTGTTAGAAAGGTCGTCAAGAGCTGTAAGTATTCTGATTCAATATAATCCGACATAAAGGTCTTAACATCAACAGCATCATACCATCCCTTCTATAGGTAAAGCCAAGCATGCATGGGTTATAAATCCTGTTGAACGTACGACTCAATTCATTCAGACAGTATCTAGGGTAGAATCGTACCCTCAGAGTTCCTAATTCGGTGCAATGTCATGGCATTATCAGCTAATTAATGAAATATGCATCGGCGACTAAGCCGATTTGTTTGGCATTTAGCAACAAACAGAAGGTTGGCATCGCAGCTGCATCATAATTGCCATCTGGCACGATATATGCTAATTTTAAACACACAAATCGATTTGACGTTGCCTAACTAGGTGTGCTTATGATCCTACGATTCACAAAAGTTGTCTTTGGGCTATGGAGCAATGTCTCAATATTTTTTCCTACCCTATCGTCCCATATCTCCATCATCCCGACTTGAAAAAGTGGGAGGCAACTGTTCTCGAACAATGCATAGATGAGGAAAGGATTTGTTGTGATCCATGAGTGCATTCCCGCATTGTCCATGTCATGCGGCACAGTATCATTCTAGGCGCACGCTGCTAGCGCCATCTATGATCAGGAATAGGTACAAGTAAATCCTGCTATGTTGAAGAGCTTATTGAGCCTTGGTGCCCTAGCTGAGAGGATACCTCGTTCATGCATGAACGGATCTCTCTCTCTCTCTCTCTCTCTCTCTCTCTCTCTCTCTCTCTCTCTCTCTCTCTCTCTCTCTCTCTCTCTCTCTCTCTCTCTCTCTCTCTCTCTCTCTCTCTCTCTCTCTCTCTCTCTCTCTCTCTCTCTCTCTCTCTCTCTCTCTCTCTCTCTCTCTCTCTCTCTCTCTCTCTCTCTCTCTCTCTCTCTCTCTCTCTCTCTCTCTCTCTCTCTCTCTCTCTCTCTCTCTCTCTCTCTCTCTCTCTCTCTCTCTCTCTCTCTTACCAGTTATCGCGTAGCATGTGCGATTATTATGAAAAAAGACATTGTTCAGTGCTCAGGTACTGGCTAAAAGTCATGCAGAGACAAACGCTCGATTGGAGAGGAATTATATGGATAGGAGCAGACTGCAGCCAAACTGACTACTACAAATGAAGGACACCAGACACGTATAGAAGCTTTTATCACTGCATAATGACGACGATATAATTAAACAGCACGGTAGGGTCATTACTTGAAGAACCTTTCCCCAATACACAAGCTAGATATACCAATAGATATGTGCATTTTCAATAAGGGCTGGTGTGGGAGCTGGAAACAGCGCATCTTCAAGAAAATCGCCAGAGCATGAACTGTGACGAAAAACGTTGCTGCCAGAGCGTGCGGAAAATCAGTTCGGTGCAGTTTCTAGCATTGGCAAATAAATCACAAACATTCGGTCATTAGCACATCTAGGCCATTACTATGACGTTGAAGTAAAATATCACGCTTTGATCCACACACATGATTATAGTTCAATATGGTGACGTTTAAGGATTATATTGGGCGGCTAACACGTAAATTCACAACTATGTTACCGACCTTACTCGAGGTTGTCACGGGCCTGTAAATTTTGTTAAGCAGATCCATTAAGCTTGTCAGTGTGCCGGAGTGCACAGACCTTGGCGTGTTCAGAACAGTCACACAGTCTGCGTGAGTCTAGACATAAATTGGTTGAGACTAAATTTGCGAAATAAGGCGATCAAAATTCTTGAAGTAACGCTGTAAAATGATTATCTCTTTTCAGCAGAACTTTTTGCTAGCTTTTTTAGAACATTAACTGAGAGTGGTGAAAAAAAAATACAACGAAGCACAGCGCAGGAACATAGCGGTGTCTTACATCGGGCACACATTTTCCTTTTCATTAAGAGCTATTTTTGTTTATCCTTGTGTCATTTGTTCTTACAGAAGTTAATTAACCGATCCTGATACTGTCGACATGGGGCCTGTATCAGACATCCAGAAATTACGTCGCACGCCACATCAAGCACATTCGACCGGCGGCGACGGGCGCGCAGGGGTGGACGCGGCGGCAGGCGCGGCGGCCGGCCCAAACATGACGGCTACTGGACGCCAGGCCCGGCCGCAGCAGCCCAGCAGGCCGCCGCCAGCAGAGTAGCAGGGTGGCAAACCCTGCTAGCTGCGCCTTATGGACTAGGCTGCCAGCCTTTGGTGTCATGGTAAGTTCGTTCAACCTGCATTTCACAGAGAGGCAAAGTGAATCTGATGTCTCATCAGAATTACAAAGAAATCAATTCTTGGAGCAGGTTGAACTATGGCCGCCCACACCCTCTACATCAGTGTCCCAGTGCTCCCCGCCCCCGCCCCCGCCGTCACTGTCGGCGTCGACGGCGGCCGGTGGTCGTTGAGTCGGCCATCGGCACCCACTTAGCGGCGCAGTACGACGGACAGCTATCGAACTGGCGATCGGCGCGGCGCCGCGCTCGCCGCGGGGGCTCCC